CCGTTGGTGCATTTTGCGTAGCGCCCGAGCGCTGAGTAATCGTCCCGCCAGCGCTCGAGTGCATTCACTGGTTGCTGCGGATCGTTGATAACCGACCGGAGCACTGGCCAAGGAACGCTTCGACTGCTGGCTTTGTTTTCAAAGGTAACGCGCGTTTGGCGAGCAATCGCTGTACCCGGAGTGGCCGTCGGCCCGGCGAACAATGGCCAAAGACGTCCTCCGGCGTGGAGCGCTGCTCGCTGACTGAGTTGGCGGCGACGACCGCGAGGCTGAGCCGCGGCGCGCGCGCGTTCGCCTCCGCGTGGTGTGGGTATCCGCGCTCGTTGGACCGCAGGTAGTCGGTAGGAAGGTAGGTAGGTAGGTAGGTAGGCAGTGGCAGCAGTCGAGTAGCCCTCTGTGATTCGCTTCGTTGTCTTTCGTGCGCCCCATTTACACTCTGCCTCGTCGAGATTAGACGCCAGAGCGTGAAAGGGTGTGGTCGAGGCCTCTTCTTTTTCGTCGAGGGAGCCCCGATGAATAGGTCGCGTTTGTTTGCTTTTGGCGCGGCGCGAACACAGACGTGCGCAGACCTTTGATGTGCCCGCTGCTGCAGAAAGGCCCTTGACAATTCGACAAAGCCGCGGGATCAATCCCATTAACCGTTGGATTGCAGGCTAATTATCGGAAATAGATTATTTGACAAATAAAGCGCTGGACGTTGTGCGGAGTCCCGCGTAATCTCGGAAATTGATGCTGATGAAAAAATCGACCAAATCCTTGTGCGCGATGCTCGTAGCAGCTGCAATTATTGGCGCAGGAGTACCATTAGGGACTGATTGTTCCTCGTGGCCAGCGGTCTTTGCGCCAACTCGACTTTATCTACTGATTTTCCGATTACAGAGAGCACGAGCGTGAAGGGGTCAGCCAAGTGATTCCTCGGCGAAGGTGGGCTGAAAGGCTGGCCGTGTACCGTTTCATCCGGCCGGCGTCGATTCTCTGGATTACCGAGAAGGAAGTCATCGCGCCGCGTCGACCACGACGCGATCGTACATAGGCTGGAGGTGCTCGCGCGCCTACTTTTTCCTCGCGCGCACCCAACGCTTCTTGTGCACGCGCACCTTGGGATCTCGTGGCGGCAGCTCGCCACCTCCTCCTCCTCCTCCTACTCCCCCACCTCTGTCACATTCGCCGTGTTGCCGGGCATTGTGTGCTCGCTCGCCTTCTTTCGCGACGACCCCGCGTGCTGTATACCGTTACGCCATAGGGAGGGTGTGCCCTATCCGAAGGCTCAAGGACTCTTGGCTTCATGGCTCAAGTGAAACCAAGTCCTGCATATCGAGTGGGCACGCGATCTCGGCTGGCTGCGCGTGCTCCGTCCAATGATTGTCATGTACATGAGAGAGAGAGAGAGACGACTCAACTCGAATAGATCCAACAAACTTATCGACTTCTCAATCTGTTGCGTGTCGCAGTCGCATCTCCATGATTCGCTCGCATGGGCCAAATTGACTGTCAAATAAAGAGAAGCAATTGGGCTGAGGACGAAAGTCTCACGTCGAGCGCAAATTCGAACCGGAGGCACCTCGAGGCAGCAGAGCTTCGACGAGATATCAAAAGCGCTGCTGCACGAGTCCGTTTCAATTTCTCAATCCGTCCGGCACACTCATCAATCGAGACTGCACTTATCCTTATCATTAGCCGCGGTGCGCTGGTGCATTATCAGGCCCTCATCATTGCGCACTGTCTCATTAGTAGACGAGAGTTTCGTGTGCTATCCGCGTCGAAGCGAGCGAGCGTATAATGCTCTGGGCCGCTCGCCCCCTAATTTGCAGTCTGCCGAGGTAATGCGAGTCGATGTACCGCACGGGGACTACGTCGTTCGGGCTGTAGGCTGCTTGCGCAGCGTCAGCGAGAAAATTTGAGCAGTCTTGGGCATCTGTAATTGTTCGGGTGGATCGCCGCGAAGCGAGCACACGAGCACAAGCTGGACTCGGAGTCGGAGCCGGAGCAGCCATTGCCGAGCTGACAAATGGGGCCGCCGCCTCGTAAATCTCGTTAATCCCATTCAATTTCGAGCTTCTTGCAAATATCATGGTCATCCACCATTCGTCAAATAATTTTGGATAATGGATCTAACTATATCGCACAAGCTCGAAACACCGCTAGTAGCGGCGCAGTGGACAATGAGGATCCAGCGCGCTGTGAAAAATGCCGACATGCAACAATGTCACCTCTCGTGTGTACCGATAAGCATCCGCTAGGCTAGAAAAGCCGTGGAGAGCATCGACCGCGGCAGCACGGCGCAGCCGTCCTCGCCAAGTACGAAAGCCGCGCTTACCATAGCGGGGGTTCCGCGCGGCAAACTAGCCGCGCCGGCAAGAACCGGCGAAACCAGACGCAGCTGCGTTGGCATTAACCCACGCGCGCGCGCGCGCGCCAGCCACCGCAGCTCCGGCCGCAGAGAGAAGGAAACAGGGGACGCCGATAGATCGATCGCAGAAGCAGCGGATAGGCAGTGGGAAGCGCTGCTCGCCGCCGCCGCCGCCGCCGCCGCCGCCGCCGCCGTCGCCGCTGCAAAAAACGCGAGAGCTTGGGTCACGAGTAGGAACGTCATCTCGAGCGGCTGTCTCTCCGCAGCCGGACCCGAGAATTAGCCTTTCCCCCCTCGTCTCTGCTCGTCGATCGCGTCGCTCTCCTTCTCGCGCGCGGGATTCGCCGCGCCACATATGTGCGACTGCCGCCGGCCGCGGTCGATCTGTGTTACGCGAGCGAAGGTCACACGTGCGCCGACCACGCCACCCGCTCGTCGCAGTCGTCGGCTCCCCGGAGGATCGCCATCGCGCCTGCATACTGCCGCCTGTCCTCGTTCGCTCCCCGCCGATGCCCTGAGCTTCCGAGCGTTCGTTCGCCCCGCTGCCTCGCCAACGCTTCGCGCCTGCGACGCGGCTGCATCGACAATCGCGATCGTTCCGTTTGAAGCTGCTCGAAACTAACGCCCGTCTGTATCTTGATGTCCCTCTTGTAAACACGAGTGCGCGCACGACCGGCGGAGTATTGGAATTTATACGCGTGACCATATAGCTACGTACACTAGTAACACAGACGTCAAAGCGCCAGCTCTTTTAGAAGTCGCGAGAAAAAGGCTGATCCCGAGAGGGAGAGGCAAAAACCCAATGAAAATCCGACACGACTTTGCGCTCTCTCACGTTCTCTCGGCATCAGTCCCTCCCCCTTCTCCGCCGCTAACGGACTCGCCCTTCGCTCGCTATCGAAGATCGCTCCAGCTACCGTTCTCGCGCGCGACATGTCCGCAAGCGATTTCAAACTTTTAACTGCTCGCGGCTGCACAGTAGGGGCTGCAGCAAGAAGAAAGGTTCCGCTCTCGAATCGCGTGCAATTTGGAACGAACCGATGACAAAGTCAACGTTCCCAGAAGTAGGACTGATGCGGGCAAAGCTGACTTTCAAACTTTTCTGGGCCACGATCAATTTTCTCTTGCCGTCGAATCTTTGCCCCGCGAAAAGAAAATAATACGAGCTCGGACAACTTTGACGAGTTCGAATATTAAAAATTTCATCAGGCATCTCGGTAAGTTCTCTTTGTAGCGGGACAAGCTTTTAAATAGCAAGTACATCAAGGCACATTTTAATCAACAGTCGCGATCGTTCAGTAAGTCCGAATGCGCTTTTTTTTATTCGCGTACGAACTCGTGAACAAGCCATTTGCACTACGGTAATGTGTTCGAGGCTCACGGAGCTAATTATTCTCGAAAAAGCGTGTGAATAATTATTCAAATAGAAAGGCTGAGCAGCGGATCGCGCAGCGACACGAGGAGCAAGCAGTCACGGTAAACGCACTCGCGAGCGAGAACGAATAGTGTTTCCTAAAGTATAATCAGCAAAACCAATTGCCCGCTACAAGACTGCGCATTTCGAGTAATTGACAATCGCGTAAACAAACAGGCAGGAAGCAGCGCCGAGTCGAGGCGGCTGCGGCAGTCGTGCCGGCCTCTCATTCGAGGAGAGAGAGAGAGAGAGAGAGAGAGAGAGAGAGAGAGAGCGAGAGAGCTTGTCTGGAGGCTCTCGCACGCACGTCGTTTTCTCATTTCGCGTGGTCGAGTGCGTGGTTCTCGCGAGACCGCGACGATTGCGCCGCGAGCTTGCATACTCGCTGCGAGATGTAGTTCCTCTTATGCTCGACTGGCGCGCGCGAAAAAGGAAAACACGCCGCTGAGACGAAGGAAAAACGAGAAGTAGCAGAAGAAGAAGAAGAAGAAGAAGCAGAAATCTTTGGTTTGCGGTGCGTTCTTTCTCTGACGCGCGCGCGCGTGCGTACGTGCAACGTCCGCCAGCCATCCACTTTAACCGCTTTCCCGAGATCGTTCAGCTGTTCATTGCCACATTCGCTTCCTCTTTTCGCAGATCGAGTGTTTGCCTTGGGCTTGAAATATTTTGTTCTCACTCGACTATGCGTGCCTCCGCGTGAAAGCTACTGCTCGTTGTAAACACACGCATACACACTCGCAAGCAAATAAAGCACTTACGATGACTTTTTTCAGATCAACACTTGTAACGAATTACTCGCAGACTGTCGCCCACGCCTTGCGCTCTCTATTTGTTCATACTGCTATTCTCCCCGTCTCGCTGTTTACGTTATTTGCCTTTTTAAAATCTAATTTTCCAGATATTTATAAACATCGACATTATTAGCTTCCTAATCACATAAGCAAGTAATTGAATTTCCCTGCAAGCCTTGGCTACGCATTCATTCTTGCGGTTAGACTATTGCCTATCGACGTCATATTGCTAAAAAAAGATCGAATGATTTCAGACGGTGAAGCGAAAATATTTCCAAAGCTTAAAATATTACAGTTTTTCGCAATTTGCAAACCAAATCTTTTTACAGTACTTGCACTTGCATAATAATGAATTCTGTGAGCTCGAGCCATCAAATGCTTCAAAACCAAGAAGGAAAATGAACAAACATGCAGATTTTCTTAGTATTGGATTCAATCAACAAACCTTATCTTCGCACGCCTTGTGGCAGATGTATTTGCACACTGGAACAACGAAAAAAAAACCTTTTAATTACGTGGTACAAACATAGAATTTAAATGTGCTGAAACATGAATAGAATCGATTGAAGCAAATGTACTTATATTTTTTATTTTTGAGCAATCGTGAAGTTACCGTCATTTTGGCAGATTTCATTATTCTCAAGCAATTTGAATCATTATACATCTGATTTAATAACGCTTCTTGGATCAATTAGGAGCTACCCTGAATATTTCTTTTTATTTAGTTAATTTTATATTTGTTCTAAATATCAAAGTCACATGCATTAATTGAAATTATTTAAAAAATTTCGGGTGACGATGATATTTACAAAACCTCAAAATTGAATGGGAATAACGAGATGTACGAAGCAGCTGCCTGTACAGGTTTTCAGTTATTTATTTGAATAAAAGATATGATTTTATATTTTTCACTTTTACGAGAGGTATCGCGATAGAATCTTGATCTAGAAGTCAAGTTATGAACTGTTAGCCCACAAAGCAAGATAGGTGGATCGTTAGATGGAATTAATTTATCTGTTTTGTTTTTCGAGGCATTTTTTAAACTCCGACATACGTTGCTCCGTAAAAATAGGTTCTAACAAGAGATCAGGACAATTAAGAACAAGCACGTACATACATATGTTCACTGAATAAACGACTTCCGGCTGGAGCTTTCCATAGTTTTCTACTTTATCGACTCGCGGCGTAAGCTTGCTTTTGTAAAGACTTACCTCGACAACTGGATGCCTGCTTTATCACCGCCTGATGACAGAGCTGACACGGTCGGGGCTTGCGCAGTCGTTTTGTACGGAAAACGTGACATTGTGGTTCAAAGTCGCTCTGTAAATAGAAGAAAATATATAAACTATGAGTTTGCGAAAGCATTTGTTCTACGCGAATTCATTATTTTACATCAATATACGTAGATTCGTTGAATTTTTTAAACTTAATTACATATTATATTTATTTACTTATTTGCCAACATCAACTATAAGCAGTTACATATTCTGGAACAATCCGACTCGCGGAAGAGCAGAAAGCTCTTGATCTGCCTAAAATACATTTAATATGAACTGTATGTTCGATCAATATAATTCGGATTTACATTCTTTTAATCTGCAGAGAAAATCTCGTAACACGAAATGAAAAAGTTAAAAAATTACACTATCACAAAAAATCAAATGGAATTATTGGTCTCGCAAGCCCGGGCATTACCGGCTCGTAATTACGCGCACGCAATCCAGCACATTCCGCAAACACTCGGCTTGCTTTCTTTTGCAAGTTGTAATTTATGCTATACAAAAGTGTCGTTTTGTTTTGGTATTGATTGAGTGTATATATACTAAACAAGGAAGGCAGATGGTGCAAAGGAATGATCGCTCGTTGATATTTCATTTCTGTCGCAATCAATAAAATCAGTCAAGATGATAATATCGCCTGTTGCGTATTAATTGGTCTGTCGTTGCCCCAACGCTCGAATCAATTTTAACTGACTGTTTTATTTGCTTTCTTAGCTCCGAATGTTTCGATTGGGCAGATCTGCTTCATTACTTCGTAATAGAATTTCGACATCCCCAATATTTACCGAGCCCGATGACAGTATCGTATTGATGTGGTCGAATTGTCTTTCGACAAAGAAAACACGAAAGTTACATCAGTCAGTATCAAGCAAAAAAGGATGAAACAGCTTCGATAGTGTTTCTTTCGCTGCTCTCTTTTATGACAGACGTAGCATCATCAGTTTTGCTTCAGCTATTTCCAAGTGCACTCTTGAGCGAATCCTTACGCAAGAACTCGAGTGAAAAAATGCTGAAAGGAATATTGGCCCCGTTGATGCGGTTGGCGTCGTCGCGCGTTACGTTTTTGCGCAATTTCACGGTCTTTTTTCCGAACCGGATCGAGACTTCGCACGACAATGATGATTGCTCAGCAGCGAGTTCAAGGCACTCGACAGTATTTCGAGTGCGACCAAGTGCGTTTCGGGACATAGCTGCGCACATCGCGCACATACCTGCGCCTAGCGATTCGCTAAGCAATTTTCGCGCGAAAGCATTTGCATACGATGATGACCGAATCGAGAGCAATTTCATTAACGGATACGCTCTCGCGTGCTAATTGCGAAATAGGATGTTTTTAATTTCTCGAGAGCTACCAATGAATGAGAGATTCAGTCTATTAATATATTAGAGATCGTGATTCAATCAGGCGCCCGTGACGAATCGAGTTACTGCCGTTTCTCAGCCTAGAACGGTTAAAGATAAAAGGAGCCCAATAAAAACTTGCAAATGAAATGTTTTTACAACCAGCAAGTTTGATATTCAGCGTTTCTTTTCTTGGATTCGTATGTCACAGGTCATCGATTCGATACGATTGGGCGAATAAAGCCGCTGGCAAACTAAATACGCTAAAAAATCAATCGTCGTTCACTGAAAAGACATCCGGCATCATTCCAATATGTCGTAGACAGCACGCACGATATCGACACCTCTTCAATGGTGGTGCGTTGGCAGACAAATGAAGCACAAGCCGGCAACGTATAGCCTGCGAGCGAAAATGCCTCGGGAAATGCAACATCAAGCGAAGGCTGAAAAAGCTCGCGCTTGAACGGCGCTGCGCGTCGACTTTGTACCGCGCCACACGCTGTACATAGAGCTGCGAGCCGTTTAGCGCGAAGAGTCAGCTGACTGCTATGCGCGATTACGCGCGATGGGCGACGCTCAAGCGGCGAGCTTCCAATTATCAAGCTTCGCGAAGGAGACAAGCGCGAAGAAAGCGCGAGTGGGAGATTTCGAACGTGGCTTATGGCAAAGTGCGCGTGCCCCCATTCGCAACTCGCAGACCTTTTCAGATTTATTCAATGATGCACATCCATTCCCATTTTCACAAGCCTCATCCACAGAACAGTGATAGATGCTGAGAATTTCACGGACTACCAGCACACCTATCCTATGCGAGCAATCTATCTAGTTTGTAATGCGAATCAGAGCCACGGAATAACGATTCGATAGCATCGTTCGAGAGTGTTTGCGAGCCTCCGTATTCACGTCTATGATGTCATGTTACAAGAGCCCTCCCTATGAAAAACTGACGTGCCTTACATACGAGCATGGCTAATCTGTGGGATGGCTCAACGAAAGCATCGCCTAGATCTCAAGTTACTCATGGGAATCTATACTTTTTTCTTGCATATGTGAAAGTATGCCTGATTTTATACAAAGATGAATTGAGAACATCTGTATAGTTTGATAATACACGAAACTATATTTACAATTACACTTCTTATCTTAAGATGTATGCATTTAAATAAGAAGAAAATTATTAACACGTTTGAAAATATTGCAAACCCGAGCTGCATAACACATCCTGCATCATACGTTACTTAAAATGCTTTATTTCTACTGAATTTTCATGAATATCTAGTGTAGCAAATAGAAATATTACTTATAGTAATATTCATTCATTTTGCATGTTTCCCTGTCGTAGAAGAATAGTTTATATTTTAATCGAATTTTCAAGCGAAACTTTTACTTGCTTAGACGTGTATAGTATTCTTTAAATTTTTAATGTGCACAGCAATTTCTCGCACAAAATTACCTCTTAAAATTACGTTCCGATTAAACTATGGAAAATGTCTTAGTGCTAAGCAAATTTTTAAAAATGATTGAACTCTGAATATTTATATAAAGCAGACAACATAATGGGATCAATTAAATAAACAAATCTTTTTGTCGGGATCAGCTAAAGCATATCACCGGTAATCGTAAATTTACCGGTTAAAACATTTATAGCGGAAGCTACGGAAAGCTTTCTTTATAGATCTCGCGATTGCGGTAGTTAATGCTTCGTCGAGTCAGCATACGAATTAAGCTTCCGACGTCATTATAGGGTTCAAATAAGTAGTGACAAGACACCTGCTGGTGAAAATGGCATTCGACGCGTCTTGAGGAGAGAACATCGGAATAGATAGTTGCGGGCCGAATCGATCGATGCTCCATCTCACCCTCTTTCTCATTGTCACTCTACTTCGCACGACGTGTCGTCAATCGTTCAAAGTGACTCCTACAGATCAAGTTAGTGGCCGCTTAAAAACAACATCGTATTCGATATCTAAGTTGTATTATAAAGAGAGAGAGAGAGAGAGAGAGAGAGAGAGCGCGCGCTAACTGTCGGCTCGATCAAAGATAAGTGGTTAATTTTTAGCGTCATACTCGACGCAGTTGGAGGCAGCTCTATGTGCGCGACGCACGGTAGATCCAATTCGAGCTCTCGCACCGCGCGGTGTGATGGCGGGACATTCGCATTTCGGTCCGCAGCTCTTTTCTGCAAGTAAACTATATCGAGCGCGACTTTAAATCCCGCCTCGCGCCTTAAGGAGGTCCCTGATAAACGAGCGCCCGCGCGCGCGAATCCGCCTAGCCGATCTCTCAGTTTAGCTACCAGCTTCCGTCCATCTCTGCTCGCGGTCGGCTTGAACTGCAGCGCGAAGACCAACCGGAATGAGTCATTGGAAAATATCGGCATTAATAAATTGGCAAATCTCGCTGCTCGTGCATACGTCTAAGCGCGTCCGCATACAGCTCCCCTGGAATGCTCACTCGACGCCGCTTTGAATTATCGTTATGGTCGCGCATTCTCGACTCTTACTGCGACGCTGCGAGCTTGTCGATGACAAAAAAAAAGAAACACTAGGCATTTTTACTTGTATTGGCTTTGTAAGATCTCCGCGAGCTAATGACACATCGACGCAGAATGACTCGTTAAAACATCGGCGTAAGGTGTGTCGCCTTTGAACGCACTTTCTTGCTAACAACTTGTCGGAAGAATAAAAAACCGTTTCGCGAGCGCTGATGTACACTTTCGAGCCATTGAACGATTTCAATTATTTATCAACCAGCTTATAAAAGTTATCGTTGACGTTATCCCTGTCTAAGGATAATCGGCATTAATTAAATTATAAGTGAAAAAAATGCAAACACCACGTGCAACCATGAATCAAAAGGAATTTTATGGTACGCACTCTGTTATCGTGGACACGAGCGATCTATGTTAAGCTACAGTCGCAGACTTCTAAATGGTTCTCGGCGCTCGCTCGCGGGAATAAATTACCATTCGATTTTATCCGCGAGCGCAAGCGTCCAAAACGAAAAACCTCTCGGAATATTAATTCTATGCCGTACGCTCTTGAAATGTTTGCCAAGCTGAGTAAGCAGAGTCAACGGTACGCCAACTGATCAATCGACTGCTTTTCGTCGACGACTGAATGAATGGCTAAAAACTATCAGCGTCGAGACACAGAGAGAGAGAGAGAGAGAGAGAGAGAGAGAGAGAGAGAGAGAGAGAGAGAGAGAGAGCTACCTTGACGATTACAAGAGAAAACATGGAATCGAAGAGCCAACTAGGCTAACTATTCTAATTTACAACACTGTATCTCGAGTGATATGCTCGCGCGCGTGCCGCCTGACAACTCGATATTCAAAGCGAGACTCGTACTCTGACGAGTTTTAAAGAACAGCCACTCAGCTGCGGCGCATTTGAAGTCGATGCTCTCATGCGCATTTCCTTGGCGATCACGTCAACTGTACTATAAACCATCGGATCTGTCTGCGAGCGAAGATTGACTTTTAGCGACACATTGTGGATAACGTCGGTTGAAGTGTCGCCATTATAAATATTCTTGTGCTCGAGTTTAATGCGACGTCAGTCCGACCCCTACAGTAATCGTACGAGTAGGAAGGAGAACGATAAAAGGCGGAAAATGAAAAGTGAAGGTACCTGCATTTGCCAATTTTCCGATGCCTCAATACAAAAAAACCACCAGCGATTTTTTGCCAACGCGGAAA